AACCTTTTCTTTTGCCTGTTGTTTGTTGCGTCGTGTGGATGTTTCTTGTTTTTCTGCATGACTGTGATTATTTGAGCAGCCACCGTGTCCCACCCTGTTGGACTCCATGGTGTTTTGCCTCAGTGTCTGTCTCTTGTGTCAGCTTTGCCTGTGCCACATCGTGGCCTGTTAAGCAAGATCCTACAAAGAAGCAGTCATTTAAAAGGAGCAGGTGCTTTACATCAAAAGCCCAGCACTCAAAGGAAATAAGAAGAAATTCTCTTTCTAGCTTTCTTTCCATTTGGCATTCTGCTTCCCTGGCTAGAAGAACCTCCTTCGTCTGTGTTAGATGAGACATTGCATGATATTTACTATTAATTGAATGATAATAGCATAGATGATGTAAATTTTGGCAAGAAAAATGAAAATGACAGCCCCTAGCAACATCATCGTTACTAGTGTTGATTTTTATGATTTATATTACCTTATTTGTTAGAGTTTCAAATGATGTATACGGAGTATTTTGTGCTAATTGCTGTGAAAATGCATATTAAATGACAGCCTCTGCCCCTCCAAGCCACTGCCCCATATTCCATATCTCTTCAAATTAAAGAGTAAATTTTATCTCTCAGTATAATTAAAATAATTTTTTTAGCAGCAATGATTTTTTTTGTTTGTTTCTTGAATGTATTTATTCTTAAACCAAGCGCAATCTGATTACAAAGCTCACATACCAGTCATTGGACTCCTGTTGGAAAGCTGCTAAAGAATAATGAGAGCAAAACCACCCATGACTGGTGTCATTCAGTAGTTGAAATTTATTTTTTAAGGAGTCTGGAAAAACGGTATCTGAACAATATCTGTCTTTGGTCTGTTGCTCTGTTACTGAATAGCATTTATGTTCAAAGAAGCTTGGTTTCAGTCTCCAAGTGAGTGTTCATAGACAAAGGTAACACAGCTTTTTGAACATCCTAAATATATTTAAGAGGATGGAAACCCTTGAAAGGACTCACACTGAGGGTGGAATATAGTTAGTTTTACAGTGCTTTGACTGATACCCACTTTCAGGAAACAAATATCTTTAAAGTGTTAATTATAACAGCTTTTTCATGCCATCAGGTCCTACTAAAGGTATTCCAGAATGGAGGAGGCTCAGTGTGATCAGAGCAAAGAGACACTTTTCTGTGTCTGCAGCTTTATTTACAAGGTGTTATAATCCTTGAAGTTAGAGGGAAAGCAGATATGCAAAAAGAAGCCATTTTAAAGTGTTAACTTTCTCTTCAGTAGTGCCACCGCTCACATCATGCACTGTAGCTTTATTTCTGGTAGAGAATGCTATGAGAGTCACTAGGAATTCTGTGCAAAACTTCAAGGCTGAATATAGCCCTTTGCATTACCATTTCAGAAAAACACATGCTCAGGTTTAAATGCAAAGGTAAAGCTGAAGTCAGTAACATGCCATTACCTGTTATGTGCTGTACTGAGCAGAGATTTTTTTCTTGAAGTGTGGCCTGAATCTGAAATAGTACATAATTTTAAAAGAGAGTCCTTTGGGAGTGCCAAATCAGGAGAGGTAAGAGTTTTGCTGTTTGACACAATAAACTACAGAGACCAAAGACAGCACTGAATGTTGGGTACTTATGATGACAAGCAGTGCAAGTGTGATAAGCAGAGAAATGAAACCTAAGTGTGTTATTAAACAGATTTTAGTGCCAAATGTTGAAAATTTAACCCTCCTGGGGGAGGGGTTGTCTTTAAAATATGCTAAACAACTTATTCTAACCAAAAATGACTAAACTGACCTCTTGTTTAGTGAAAAGGACAGCCAAAATAGTAAATACTTGTTTGAAATATCCAAGGCTGACTGTACACTGAAAAGTTACAGTCCATAATAGGCAATTAACTGAGCCTTGATTTGATTATTTCTTATTTCATGTCAGTTTAGTATAACTTTATATGAGATTTAAAAGAACAGGAAAGTCAAAAGATCATTTGTTCTTGAATTAAAAAATATACTTTTTGCCATTTTGTATTGATTAGTGGTGAATTGCAATCTTGTTTTCTTCTAATGATTTACCTTATAATTATTTTTTGAGTGATGGGAATATCCGGCATTCAGCATAAGCTCTTTGTGATGTCTCATTTCCTCATTCATTATTGTCTGTAAATGGGCATGGTGCTTTAACCAGTGTTATCAGGTGAAGACAGTGCAGGAAGTGAGCAGCCACTCTCACCTGGTGAAAGGCTCCCTCCCATCAGACGCTCTAGTACAAGAGACAAAAACAGAAGAGGGGGAACATGTTTCCTACTGACGACAGGTGATTACACGTGTGCTACTGATGGAGGGATCAGGAAAGGTATGGACTTCTTTCATTAGATCATAAAAGGTTACTCAGCAATGTGCTTGTGAAAAGCAATCTCAGAGTAAAATGTTGTGCACAATGCTCTTAGAGGAAAGATCGTACTCACAATGAATCTTTTTTCTTTATTCCTAGTCACTCTTTTCCTGCTTTCCTTTTAGAAACACTCATCTTTAGTCTTCACAAAATGTGCTTGATGTTGGACCCTCACTTCACTTGTGTCTTCATTTGTCAGTTATCTTTAATGGAAAAGCCTGCAATTCAGACTTCGCTCATTCAACCACTCATCACTCAATACCATTTGTCATTCTAAAAGACAAATTAATTATTTAATAACTTTGGTCTGCACTTAATAACCTCGTAAAAATTACAGCTGAATAAATTACACTTAAAAGGTTGAAATGTCAGAAGTAAGCAACGTTTTTGTTCTGAACACAACAAAGCATATTATATGAGATGCTATTTAGATTTCTTTCAAAGAAAAGTTTGAGTTTATAATGCCACAAAATGTTTCGTCTTTGTAATACACCGCTGATGGTGGTGACTGTTTACCCCAACTGGAATTCAACTACAGTAAACAATGTTTGATCTTGCAAGGTGCTAAAAATGCCTTTCTAGTTATTCAACCTCTTCAAATCTGATTACTCACTGTTCAGTAGGATTGGGTTCCCCAGGCAAAACCTTCTGTCATTATATCGTCATGTGACTGATGGTGTGGCTAACCTATCAAGCCACAGATGGCTGTGGCTGCAAACCTAACCTCAGGGCATAGCCCCAAAATCAGCAATGCCAGTGGAAGTCTTGGCATTTCCTTAGATAAGAATTGCTTTGGTTTATTGGCAAACTGTATCATTCCAACGGGTTTCATGTTCCTGAGTGCTGATGTGCAGTCATTCACCTCAGAGTTCATCTGCAGTAGCCAGGCGGCACTGGACAAACATTTTTGGCTGAGATTTTTCTGCCCCGGAGTGTTTTCTCCCCCCCCCCCCCCCCCTTTTTTTTAAAAAACTTAGTTTGTGTACAGCAAACATAGCTGTCTCAGCCAACCATAGACCCTAAAGGAATTCTCTTGAGTTGCTCTGCAAATGCTCTTTTTACATTTCAAAAGCATGAGCTCAGTAGGTTAAACCTGTGAAGGCAGATATGCAACCAGAGTTCGATGCGTATGGTATTTGTAAAGAGTATGATTTTCTCTATGCTCCCAGGTTTTACATATACCTATATATAATGTTTCGATTAAATGGCACTTTTGCAAACACGTTGCAAACATGATGTTTTTGCACAGATTTAGGACGCTTTCCACTGAGCGTATATCTTGCACTGACTTCTCAACAATTAGGATTATTTAAAATATCTCTAATGGTATTTAAAATATCTCTAATGGTAAGAGTCCAGTCTTTGAGGAGGTCAGGAACACCTGAATAAGGCAGATTGCCATGGCATCTTCCAAGATTCTTGACTTCTTTTAGGAATGCTAGTATAAATATTTGAGTGCTGTTCCCTTGACAGTAACCATAATTAGAACAGATCAGAAATAATAAAAGAAGTTACCCATCAGCTACTAAAGACATATTCATACAACAATAAAACATATTTTATACTGGGACCATGTGAACATTTTCATTTCAAAATCTAGATTAAAGAGAAAGTTGTTTCATAGTTTTTACTAGAAAAATGGGGCTTGAGTTCAGAACTGACAGTTTTGAGTTCAGAACTGACAGTTTCTCAGTGAGAAATGTGCTCTTTCACTGGCTCTGATGATAACCGTAGTCTAGGCTGAAATGCTTTAGCCACTGGCTTTCAAGTTTATTTTACGCAGAGTAGGGAAGTTAGCTCATAAACAGAAAACATCTTCAAGTGGCATCCAAATGGTTTTGAATACTTGAATTTAATTCACCCATCAAGTCTACTACTTTTTACTTTTATTTTTTCCCTTTCTTTCTTTTGGTGCATCCTTCTTGTTTGGTTGGTTCCTTGGTTGGTTCTTGGTTGTGTTCAATGATCATTTATTCTGAGCTTTTTTGCATTAACACCTTATCTCCATCTCTAAGATGATACTGATTCAGAGCTGATCCAAACCTCACTAAAATACATGAAAAGTACTGATTTTGGATCATGTGTCTATCTCTATTCATCTTGTATATCTGGTTTTCATTTTTTAGGAGTTCCTGTTTTCTTTATCATCTTTACCATCTTCCTCTATCAGTTCTTTGCTTTTATCATTAGAAAAGTAGCAGGAAAAATATTTAAAAAAAATACTTTCCTAGTTTCTGTGTAAAAAAGCTACCTGATTATTTTGGGTTTTTTTGTGGTAAGCTTTATGGTTACAGGGGAGGTTAAATATATACACTAGCATTGTGCTTCCCCTCAATTCCCCTTTCAGACAGAAAGTTTAGCAAGTCTTTCTAATCTGTGTAATCTGTGTAAATACCATTTCTGCTCAGAAACTGGAGGCTGGTTTTGAAATGTATCAGAAGTCTGTGAAGCATCACAGTCTAGCCTGCCCTTGCAATCTGGAGATAACATTGCACAACGTTTTAGCAGACATGAGGTTATACATTTGCTTTAAGTATAGCTTTACAATATGCAATTCTTTGTAGGCAAGAAATACGTTAATTGTTGTTAGGGGATAACCTAAGATATGATTTTTCCTGAAGATGCTAACAACTGTCTGTTAATTGTCTGTTATCTGGAGATCTGGAATTTGAGCCAGTGACTATTTCAATAGGAAAAAAAATGTCTGGTGACGTCCCGTGTAATTTGTCATTGACATTTTATAGTTTCTGCGGGAAAAGTGTCAGTATTTCACTGTAAGCAATTTGTACCTGAATGTCTCAACCTGTCAAATGCTTAGATACATACTTGTCTTCAAGGAAATAGGTAGTGCCATTGAAATCAGTGGGACTTCTCATGCTTGCAGTGAAGCATGTATCCACGTACTTGAAGAGCGAGGTCCTGTCTGGCTTCATCTTCGTTGTATTTCTTTGCTGGTATCTCTCTTCAAGCCAATGGGCTGATCCTTCTCTTCATAAGTGGGCTTATTCAGGTGCTATTGAAAATACTTGAGTATGAAGGTAGTGATGCAGTGAACAGCAATGCTTTTCCATTGTTTCACAGCATAACCTCTACAAGGTAGAAACAATCTATATGTAGCAAAAAGTAGGTAGCTAGAGCTCCCAGTGTATGTGAACAGAAATGTCTGCAAGTGCAATGTTCCCTCCAAATTGTGAAGCATTATGTGGTTGCCTCATTTAATGATTAATTATTTACTACTTGCTAATGTGGATTAATACCATTTATTTCATTTGAGTCAGCTGGAGAAGGAGCACAAATATGGTGTTTTAAATTTGCCGATCAGGAGGCATTTGCAAATATGTCAAACTCTGCTGTCTTATTATACTTTAATATTACACAGAAAGTCTTAGGGCTAATATTTCTGAAGATGGAGCATCTTTCCCATATGATCATTCAATCCTCTGCAGAAGTGATTTACACATACTGTATGCAATTAATCTGGTTTTTGTTTTATTAATTGTTAAAGAAAAATCATCCTTTATTAGGAATTGGGTTTAGCAGAGATTATATAATTCTAACAGTTTTTATAATCTGTCTTAATGGGGTTTTGATTATGCTTAGCCAGATAACTCACCCAGTAACCCTGTTGGGATCCTTTATCTTGCACTCTATGCAACCCTGCTGAAGCCAATAGAGTGGCATTGAGTGCAAGATGGGATGTGGAAGAGCAGGTCAGACCTCTTGTATGATGGTCTGTTTAATTTTCTGGGAAAGAATAGCTGCATTAATTTGTAAATAATTTTATTTATTAATATCTTTTGGTAGTAATGTGTCTCAGCATTGAGTTCTTTTGCAGGCAGATTCCCTCTGAGTCCCAGATAGCTCCTTGGATTACATTACATTGTATTGTTTGTCTGTCTATTTTTTGGCTGAAATCAACTGATGTCTGTGCATTTTCTCATACAAGGCTATGAAAAATCTCGAAGCTTAAACAACATAGCTGGCTTGACAGGCAATGCTCTGCGACTGTCTCCAGTAACATCACCCTACAGCTCACCTTGTCCTCTAAGGCGTTCTCGGTCTCCCATCCCTTCCATCTTGTAAACCAGATGGCAACAATCGGCTACATAGTATTAATTCAAATACTGTTTACCACATATTGGAAATAAATGTAGCATTAACCATAGGCTCCACAAATATGGTATAACTCATGCATGATATAACTGTCAGTAGTAAGAAATGCCACTTGGGTAGCTGAAGATTTTATCTTGGCTTTTAAAGATTACCTAAGGTAGAGCTTCTCCTTTTATCTACTATATTGTCTGACTTTCCTGTGGCAATGAAAGGACAGTTAGTGGATGCCATTGGCCAGTATATTCAATAAATGAGCATATTTTCAGGGAGATTTACTTAAAATAATGTGCTTCCAACTAATTATCAGTCACTCCATTGAACCTCCATTTCTTGTGACTCTAATCCATTCTGAAGATGTCTGGAATCGTGTCTTGGTTGCACACAATGATGTGACTTGGGTCTGCTCATTTGCATGGACCATCCTGTCTCCATCACCTGACAAGCAGTGTTCCCGATCGCGGAGACCACAGAGGCCTCTGGATGTGTGTTCTCGCATTGTATCATCCTGCAAACTGGTCTGCATGTGGGATTGTTTTTCTTTGTTTAACCTTTTCCTTTATTTTTTAACGATCTACTTGTTTATAAATGGCTTTATTTTGTGATTAACTTACTTTGGTACTGGATTGCTGTATCAGAGTTCTGAATGTCTCCGGTTGTTTGCACACAGATAACTGCAAAGAGGTTGTCATTACTGGTTACACGCAAGCAGAAGCCAGATCTCTTTCTTAATGGCTTGGGGAAGGCACAAAACATGCAAGAAAGGTAAACGCCATCCAGACTTGCAATTTTAAGCTAGCAAGTGCTGCTTGGTACTGTAGTCATTTCTCTACTCCAGGGTTCTTCAACATTTTCAGAGGCTGAGTACCAAGTAAAATTGAGAAGATTATTGGGGGCTTTTTTGTACCACTGTAAGAGGGTAGTAGTTCTCAAGTTGGGTTTTTAACCAGCCTTATACCTCTGGCTCATGAGCTTCAAAAATTTCTTCAATCAATATTTTTTGAGGTGCTTTGTCCTATATGTTGTTTGTCTGTCTGTTTTGTAACCTGTCTACTGTATTCTCCATCTGTCTCCATAAAGCACAGAGATACTGCTAAAATGCCCTCCTCTTTTAAGGTTAACTAAGGACATTTTTCTCCTTTTCTCTTTTTTCATATGGACTACACTTACGTGTATAGATACAAATATATATTTTTTTCAAGTGCAAGTTAGTACCATCTACACTAACTCATGTGAGCACTCTGAAGATTTTTCAAGTGGGATTTAGTAGCAGCTTTACAGTACTGACCGGTTGCCTATTGCATCAATCTTCCTCCTAGCAACCAGCATTCATTACAGTTTTGAAACTGTATCTCCTCTAGTGGCTTTTTCATTCAATATTGATCTCTGTTTATGCAACAGGACAAATGCAATGGCAGATTTGATGTTCTGGGCTGGTGAGGAAAAATTACCCTAAACTGTAGAGTTTTAGAACTACATGGGGAGTACTATAACAACCCAAATCTTAAGAGATCCTTGAGATTGTTGAATAATCCCTGATTGTCATGTTTTATTTTTTGTTAGGAAAAGAAATATAACTTATTGTTGACCATGTAACATGTTCTTCTGTATATAGACTAGCCCAATAGCATGACCTGCATGTCAGAATTCTTGTACAATAATGTATTTATCAAAGTATACATTTCTGATATTTAGAGATGTACATTGATTTAGTTTTGGTAAGATATTGTCAATAGAGAGATAATTGCAAAGAGCTTTTAGCAAAGGAATTAATATAATATCTGGTGCTGCTGTTATATTAACTACAGTGTTGTACAGAATTTGTCATGGATTTTTGACTGCTGAAAAAGGGACAATGGAATTTAGCCATACCAAGGACTGTACTGGAAAGAGACTGCTGCTGCTGAATGGGCCCTGATAAACAACTCACGCCTTGAGGAGGTCACTGAGACTTTACATGCAAAGTAGAGCTTGTTAAAGAAGATTAAAGACTGATCATAATTACTGCTGCCAGAGGAAGGGGTGACTAGTCACTGTTGATGAGTCAGCTGTAAATAAAATGTGTGTGCATGGAATATCAGTTTTTATCTATATCAAGGAAAGCTGAATTCAAGTCATCATTGCTAAGGCTCCATGCAAAGACCCACACCCCTGTGTGTATTATTCCTGGTTCCTGCAGTAAGTTGTGCTGTGGATCATACAAAGACACACACTTAATAATGATAGTGATGTAGACTACATCTGTCTTGACTTCTGTCATAATAATGGTATATTTTGCAAAGGTCACAAATATGAACAGAATAGGTTTGCATAAGTCCTTGCTTTCTCAGTTTGCCATGACCTATATTTGTATGAATTCTAGCATACATGCCAAGTCTTAAGTTTACTTTTCACTTTGATAACAGAAATGTGACTGCAGACAAACATCACTGACTGTTCACAGCACACAGTCTTCTTTCATTGTTACCTCAAACTATAAGTATTATGAGAAATAAAATTCTGGCAGCAAGACTATTTTGGTTTTTTTTTTTTTTTTGTTAATTCAAAGTGTTGCAAACCCAACATCAATAAGTATAAAAGATGTATTAAAATTATATCCTACAAATGTATATTTTACATAAAAGAGATATTCTTTGATCAGTTACTTTTTGTGATTTTTGTGGTAAATGGATCTAGTCTATTCTATGTTTATGAGGCATTGTAGTGCTACGATGTGGTAATTATGTTCTCTCCATCCTATTCAATGGGAAATTCTCCAGAATCTGTTTTGTCACCCTGGTGTCCTGATTGTAGGGACCCGTCCCAGTTGTGAAACTCTGTATCGTGGAACTTCTGTGAACATGTCAAGGTGCATGCACAATCCTGGTGGAAACCAGTGGAAATGTAATACCTGAATTGGAGAATAAAAGGCAAAAGACCTGGGGAGGAACTTGGAACATATCTTCTGAAGTGGCTCATGCGCTTTCTTTAGCTGTATCGGTCTCCTGCCTGCCACTGTCCATCCCAATTCTCAAACCAGTTTCCTGGGGTACATGAGGAGCTAATTAAAAAACTAGCATGAGCTGGCTTCTAAAACAATTTAAAATCTTCCTTCTTGTTAATGACCCCATGCCTCATACAGAAATTGTAATTGGGCTAGATATTATCAGACTCAAGGCAGTTTTATTGCATTCTGGTGCGAAATCAACCTAAAAAGGAGGGGATAAATGGTTCCTTAAAACTCCTAATCCAATACTGTATTTGGGGCAATCAGTGAAATCCCTGAATACACAAGCAGAGTGTCTGAGAGGGGCGAGGGAGCTAGTACAACTGTACACATGATCTGAGAGGCTGTAACTGCAGTATTTTGGAAAAGGTGCTGGAATGTAAGAAAGATTCCAGAAAACAGGATCAAGAGGTGTTCAAGTTTTGGAAAACGTGTTATAGTGACGTACCACGAAAGCTCAATGTGCTGAGTTTGCCCAAAGGTTAAAAAGTTGTCTGTACTCTAACCTGTGTGAGCAGTATGCACATGAAGAAGAGGTGTAGTGGTTAGCCAGGACAAGGCTCACAGCCAGCTCCAGTCACACAGGTCTGATGTCTGCCCCCAAGCACCCAGAGACAGCTTTCGTCAGTACTATATGGGGATGGTGAGGAGCCCCAGATGGGATGCAGACAAGGTGGTGCATTGTTTTGGGCAAGACTGTGGAAAACACTGATGGCCAGGTGGTGTCTGACATCTTCCACTGTCTCTGGATGATAAGGAGCTTAAGTCTGGATGGACCTGCACCAACACAGGACCTTGAGTCCAGGATATCCTGATTGCAGCTACTTATTTTCCGCCTACAGAACCAAGCCCATGTTTAAATGCTTTCTTTTAAAACACACTTGGAGGACATGCCGATGGTGAGTTGTTAACTATTCATATGTCTTGGGACTGCAATCCAAATCTAACTGTTCTAAGAGGAAGAGTTGGCTTCACCACCAGCCCTCAAAGACTAGCCCCCTCCTGTTCTTCCTGGCTTCTTGGCCCAAGAAGGAGTGAAAGTGCATTTTCGTGGGAGGTAGGCCACCAAGATCTAACTTTCTCAGACTGAGGAAGCCTTTGAACCTAGACTTCACTCTTCAGGGTCATGCAGTTTTTATGTCTCAGATACTATGTAAAGGATGGGCAGCACATTTACATTCACTTCCTCTTTTGGCCATCCTTTAAAAATAAGTAGATACAATGATCTTTTGTAAAGGGGGTCCTCCCAGTGTGATGTGCTTATGCAGAGCAGATCTATCCGAGCCCCCAGGGGCCTTCAACCCTGCAGATGCAAAACTGCGCCTGGAAGAAGGAGTTTTGGGTCAAGCAGGAAGATGCTGTGTGAGTGTGGGTGTCCTGGGGAACAAATACTTACCAAGGAGTGGTTGTAGACATTTCTCAGTATGCTTTAAGAGTCCAAAAACTTATTTAATCCTTGTATAAATAAGACTTGAGGATTAGAATTCAAAACTAGATAGAGTTAAACAAACAATGAGTTTAGAAGCAATGCATCCTTTAAGACAATTTACCAAAGGCTGTTGCTTGTTTGCTTTTTAAAGTTGTAAAGTCAAAATGTCAAAAATGAGCATCTTTTTGAAATATAAACTAGTGCAACAGAAAGGTTCGTGCAGAGATCAAAAGCTGTGATGGAGATGAACAGATTATGGGATTTTCGGACTTTGAATGCAGTTACTGTTCTTATGAGGCCTCATTCAGCACTGAGAAAATGTTGCTGTTCCAGCAAATTTTTAGACACTATATTATGAGTGTTATAGGTGTTTACTGTAAACTGGTGCCAGAATTGCTAAGAAGCATGCAGCTAATGAAAATTAATATAATGCTGTGTGTCAGGGGGCTTTTTCATGTGTGAAACAATTATTGTTCCTAAAAGTTGTTGTACAAAAGGTCTGGATTAAATTAAAACTGTTAAAAGAGAAGGAAATTTAAGGAAGCCTCTGTTCAGATGGATTACTGAAAACTAGAGGGGGAAGGGACCAATTTGACATGAGCAAACTTGCCAATATATTTAATGTGAAGATACGAATTTTAAAAGTCATGAATGAATTAACTATATGAAAAAGGAGGCATTTTATCATCAGAATAAATCATGCAGAAGTCAGATAAAGGAAATTGAAATGGAAAACTGCTACTAGAAAGAGAAAATGAATATATTAATATGCTGTATTACAAGCAGTGGCTTGAACGATTCCATAATAGAGCCTTTGAATACTAACTGAGTGAGAACAAATTACAAAAAAAGCAAAGGTTTCTATCAGGTTAAAGTTATCAGAAATATTAATATTTTTATAATACATTATTTTCCCCTTGGAAAAACTTGTTATTTATTTAATTTCTAAAGATACAAGTTATTTAAAAAATGGTGTTTTTTAAAGTTGAGAGTTAGCTCCTGAGCAAATACTGGGATGTTAGCGTTTGGTGTTGAGTACCTAGCTGGTGTACCATTACCAGCGTTTCCCTCCTACTTAACTGAATATCCCTAGGACATGTTGAAATTGCAGAGGTATCTGACTCCTGGCCCCAGAGATGGGAATCTGTCACACGCCGGCTCTGCAGGAACACTGGGGTGCGTTCCAGCGGGTGTGAGCAGTGCAGAGCTCCCGGCTCGGCAGCACAGCCTGTGGAAGCACCCCGAGCCGTGGTCTACGTGCAGCTTCTCATTGCCTTCTGGCAAAATATGCATGCTTCCCCCGCCCTCTGCAATCTCCTCCCCAAAACCCAGTCTTCTGTCGCTTGCATTTTTTTCTCATGAGCATGTTGATGAACAGCTGACAGATTTCAGATTCATACTTTCACAGCTTCACATTCACAGATGGCACTATTCTAGCATATTTAAAAAAAAGAAATTGGAGGTGGACACTTTTTGAAAATTTGGCACCAAAATGTTACGCATTTCATTTAACATCTCCTGTATTATTATGCAGGTGGAAGACTGGAGATCAGTTTAAAACCAGGGCCACAGCTAGGCTATGCTGAAAGTTTCAGCATGTGTTCATTTTATTTTCTGCATCTGGTTAGAGTGCTGCTGCATTTTACTATCACGTGAAGCTCTTGGTTTTCTCCCCAAATGGGATTTGGGGATAAGATGCTAGGGCAAATTAAAGAGTATGATTTTAAGTTAAATATTTTCTCTATAGAATGGTTGTGGCTCCTATAGGACTGTAAACATGAACTGTAATATGAAGAAAAATATATTGTTTGGGAAATACTGAGGCTGTAACAGATGGCTGTAATCCATCTTTGTCTTGCAGAATGCTATAGGCACCCTTTCTTTAAAACACAGAAGGGAGACAATTTCATGTCGGCCTCCTCAGAGCAGCATTAGACCTGCATAAGATAATGAACTACCAAAAGAAGAAAGTGGAAGTTGTTTCCCTTGACCTTAAGATGGCTCATTTGCAAAAGCAGCAAGATCAGACTCATTTAAGAAGCTTGGCCTTTGCAGTGAAACAATGCGAAACTCCATCAATCTGAAGAATAGTAAACCGTAACCGCATTATCCTATTAGGCTGATGCTAAATATAGAATGGATTTTCAGTTTCTTACAGGGATTTCCTTGCTTTGTGACTAAATGCAGCACCAGAGTTTTATGAAAATCTTATTTTCTTCATACCTATGAATGTTGTTGGTACAATGCAGTGTTTGGCACTCTGAAAGTCTTAAAACAATGCCATTGTTTAGTAGTACTTTTTACATTTTGCCGGCATGAAAAATCAGGTTTCTTCTGAACTGGAACGCTGGAAAGGAGGGTAGAGGGAGCACTGAAGGACACGGTTTTCTTGAACTCTTATGGAATCTGCTGCATGTAACTGTGACAACACAGAAATAAAGATTTCCCTTGACATTGGCTGTAGCTTTTCCAGTTCTGAAACTCCTCTTCTTAGTTTTGGTTGGAAATCATGGCAACAGAATTTATATAGTTACTGCTGTTTATAACCTCTAGTTAACCCTTGATAAGTTTGCTTTAAATCTGTGAATAATGGAGCAGTTATAAAGCTTAACATCACTAGGACTGAACTCAGGGAAGAACTTATGCACAAAATTAACAGGTCCATCTGTAATTATTGAAGAGTTTTCTCAGTACAGGACATTATCTGAACAAGTTCCCAGCGTAAAATGTCCTCACTGAAATGAATGGCAAAACTGTCCTTGGCTTACGTAAGCAAGATTAAGTCTTGGGAAGCAATTGTTTGTGCCATGGACATTTCCAGGACATTTATCAACCACATCTTAGTATTCAAACAGCTTTCAGCTGAAATAATAATAACAATATCAATATCAATATCAATATCAATATCAATATCAATAACAATAACAATAACAATAACAATAACAATAACAATAATAATAATGTGATTTATTGTGGTGGTCACCA